ATAATTTTGTCTTCGACACATGTTTAATGGATGCAACATTTGTCGAACCATTTACAACCTCATCCTTAAGGGTATAAAAGCCTTGTTTCTTCACGCCTCTCAAGACTTCCTTCGACCCCTTCATGACTCTTATGATATTTTTCTCTTCTTGAAAAACATATCCCTTTTTGCCGAATTCACCAAGAGAAATCAAAATTCTCTTCAAATCAGGTACATACCTGACTTTAGTCAATAACCTTATTGACTCATCATGGAGCTTGAATCTCACAGATCCAATACCTGTAATTTTGCGACATTTATTGTTTTCCAGCAACACCGATCCATCATATTGATCACATAGCTCCTCAAACAATTCTCTACTTGGAGTCATGTGCCAAGTGCAACCTGAATCTATAATCCACTCTTTTCTTGAGTTGCCACTTGAAACCACAAGAACATAAAATGAGTAGAAATCATCTTGAGCAATGGTTGCATTGCCATTATCTTACCTCTATGATCTTTTAGGCGTTCAGGGTACACCTTTCTTGTGTGACCTTCTTTCTTGCAGTGATAACATTGAATACCAAATGTTTCGCCACTATAAGACTTTTGTTGACTTTTACCTTTCTTCTTGTCGAACTTACCATCCTTTCGCAAGAATTTTCTCTTAACGGCCAAACCTTCGCCCACCGTTGAAGGTTTATACTCCTTTCGTTCATTCAAGTCCTTAGAATACAAGGCTAATTAAAATTCTTCAAAGCTCAGGGACTCCCTTCCATACAAGAGAGTTTATTTGAAGTGAGCATGCGTTCTGGGAAAAACACACAACATCAACAATGTTTGATCTTCATCATCGATCTTCACATCAATATTTTCAAGAACAAGAATCAGCTTGTTGAACATATCCAACTGCTCGGCCAACACTTTGTCTTCACTCATCTTGAATGAATACAAAGCTTGCCTCATGTATAGTTGACTCACCAGAGATTTTGTCATGTACAAACTTTCAAGTTTTACCCATAACCCCGATGTTGTAGTCTCCGTTGATACCTGTCGAAGAACCTTATCACCAAGACTCAATAATATTGCGATGTGGGCTTTCCCAATCATGGTCGTCTTTTCTTTTTTCGTTAACGCAGCGTCCATGACTGCCTCTCCCTTCAACGCTTCCAAACAATTCTGCTGAACCAATAGGGCTTTCATCTTCAAGCACCACAGACCAAAGTCGTTCACTCCGGTGAACTTTTCAATCTCATACTCTGTTGAAGGCATCTTCTCCACGCTCACCGTACCAATTTCGTGTGAATATAATGCCTTGAAATAAAATATAAACGGTTTCTTTATATTCAAGAAACACACAAGGGTTAGGGTTAACAAAGAAAACAAGGAAGAAGAACAAGAAGAAACAACAAATATTGGTTATAAACTATTATTCTTTTCTTTATCTATCAAACAAGATTACAAGTATAGAAGAATAAAAAATAACTTCTCTCTCTCTTGAATTATGATTTTATCTTCCTATTTTTCCTTATACAAGATGAGAGACTAGCATGCTATTTATAAGAAACTTGACACACTAACCTAATGAGATTTTTAACAATTACCCATTACAAGCTAACTTAGGGTACAAGCTAACTTAAATAATTGGACTTACAAGAAAGGCCCAATTTAACATGCTAGCAAAATATCAATATTGACTAATGCATGTTAGAACAAACTTCGACTACAACACGCATTACATGAGAACAGACTTTGACCATACTAGAGTTTGATCCTATATCTCACACATCTTAACTTTATGCTTAATGGTATTCCTATTTTCTTTCTCTCATTTCTTAAGATGCATGTGAAATAATGAAAAATGTTAGTTAGGGTTTAAAGGAGGTTCCTTTGAGGAGGGGTGAGAAATTTCTAAAATTCTATGGGTTAGATGGTCTGAAGTTTGTAAGCCCAAAAAATGTGGAGGCCTAAATGTTAAAGATCTCAGGCTGGTTAATCTACCTCTTCTCGTAAAATGGAGATGGAGACAGAGACTTTTGGCATGTTATTCTGGTATATGGTTTGATATTCTTTCTTCTTGTTATGTTGCCTGTATCATCTCTTCTTGGTGCGCTAGTAGGTCCTTGGAGCGTTTCAATGTTTTTGCTTGGTGGAAAGGATTGTTCCTTCTTAGTTCCAAGAAGGACGATCCTTCAAATTTATTTGAGTTGGAGTTGGTTAGGAAGGTTGAGTCTGGTCTTTTGTCTTCCTTCTAGGAAGACCCTTGGCTAGGTATTGTTCCTCTTAAGTTTGGATTTTAAACACTTTTCTCTATTTCTAAAATACCTAAATGGTTGGTAGCTGAGGTAGGAAAGTGTGTTCATAGGTTGATATCTTGGGATCTTAGATGGAGAAAAATATTATTTGTTCATGAAGAATCTTTAGTCGCCGAGTTCTTATCGACTCTCCAAGAGGTTCATATCAATTCGAAGAATGACAAGTGAGTTTAGAGATACGATAAAAATGAATCTTTATATTTGGCGTCTATTTATTAAGTTCCATTTGATTTTGGTCTTTTCTCTAAGGAGCTTGTAGATAATTTTTTCCAACTCTCTCATTGATTTGGGAGAGCTAAATCCCTTATAAGGTGATAGTATTTTCCTAACAACTTCTGCGAGAGAGATTTTCGTCTAGGAAAAATTTATTGAAGAAAAAAGTAATTTTTATTTGGATGAGACTTTGTTAACTTTTGTGGGACTCAGGTTGAGACAATATCTCATTTGTTTGTGACATGTAGTTTGGTTTTTAGTGTCTGTATGTGGTTTTTAGGTGGTTAAAAGTTCAATTGGCTCTTTCTAAGGATCATATATTAGTTTCTTTGGGTTCTAAGACTAAGTTTATAGTAGGTTATTATGATTTGACATGTGATGGTGTGGACTATTTGTCTTGTTTATAATGGTAATGTTTTATTAGTTCAAAACAAATGCGAAAGAGGTGGATGATTAGAGTATTTTTTTGCCCCGGGGCTAGTTTCTTGTCGAGTTCCCTTGGACCTTTCTCTTCTTCAAAGATTGACTTCAAAACCATATCATATGTCTTAACCAATAGCACATCGAAATTGTGGTCTGACTCTCTAGTAAGCAGTGGTTTCTTGATGTTTCATGTGGTTTTTCTTTGTCGTTGGCGAGTTTAACGTATGAGTTATAAATTAGTCTGTGCTGGTTGGTGGTTTGTTGTGTCTATGGTTGTTGAGTTTTCCTTTTTTTTAAGATTGCTTTTGTTTTTGTTAGCTTGATGTAGTAGTTCATCCTCTTAATTTTTTAGTAATTTTGTTGTTAGTCTTGTGTTGATTTGCTCACCTGACAATTTTTATTTCCTATTGGTTTTTTGTATTTTTTTTTGGGATTTTTTCTCTCCATTATTAATGTTGTATTTGATTATTAAAAAACATTATTTACAAATAAAAAGATCCATAAATATAATCCCTTCAAATTTTAGATTGAAATGTATTCTTTAAATAATATTAAATAATGTTCAAATCAATTTAAATAATTGTTCAAATTTCATATAAAAATAAATTGACTACATAATGTGGTGTCTAACCTAATATAACAATTAATTATAGAAGAAGTCTAACCTAATAAAAAAATTAGTTATAAATCTTCTATAATATAAGAAAAGAAAATGCTCTAAAAAAAACTCTTTTATGCCCTTCCTTTGTTATCTGTCACATAACAACTTTAATGATAATTTTTTTGACTAATCCATTTTAATGATAATTGAAGTCTAATATTTTTAAACGGTAACTGAATAAGATCTATAGTTCAATTTGAATTAACAGTTATTCTATTTTACATTTTTTTACGAATATTGATTACTATGATTATTTTTTAAAATAGATTTGACTAGATCTTAAAAGAAAAAAAAATTAAACTGAAAATTATATTTTCTCTAATTTTATTTATAAGAAAAAAATGATTTTTTAAATTCATTCAATAATCAATATATTTGATTCATTATACACTCTAGATATATTAATTATTAAATTAACTCAAAAAATCTATTTTCTCTTATAAATAAGATCGGAGACCGTATATAAAAACAAATTTACTATTGATTCTAATATTTTTAAATTTATAAAAATACTAAAATGAAAAAAAATCAAACGAAATTTAAGATTTCAAAAACAAACAACCTGTTTTATAATAAATTAAAAATAAATGAATAATTATAAAATACGTATACTTTAAAATTTTGATAAATGTATCTTTAATTTCTATTTTTTTTTTAAAATAAAAAGTAATTTTAAAGATTTATAATTAATTTTAATGTGTTTGTATTTGATATTCAATTAGATCTAAAAAGAATATTTAAATTAAAATTTATATACGGAAATATGTTTATTCAAATATTTTATAAATTATACCAAAACAAAAATAATATTTATATATAAAAAAAATATAATATTAATTAAAATATTTTTATATATATAAAAAAATTATAGACGTATGCTTATTATCTCTTTTAAAAATAATGTATTTTTTTGATTGAATAAATTTATCTTCCTTTTATTTTATTTTTCTTTTTATATTTTAAAAACATATATGTATAAAATTAATAAAATTAATTCTTAATTTTCCTAATATTTTCCTAATTTTTAATAAAATTAATATACAATTTTTAAAATAAAATTCCACATTTAATTCTTAAAATTATGTTATCCTTAAAGACACAAGTTTGCATTTTATTTTTCACATTAAGTTTTTATCAATCAAATTATTTATATATTATTTTCAGCAAAAATCCCTAATAATGTTTCTTTAAAAAAATCATTTATATGTTATGTATGGCAATATGAAAAGTATGAGGATAGTGTACGTGTGAAAATGCCATTGTGGGTTTAAAACAGTGGAAAAGCATGGCGTTCCATAAAAGGGTGAAAGTGAACCATCTTTCTTTTTCAATTACCAAACATGTTTCTTCATAACCTACTACTGTAGCACCATACCTTATACTATACTATACACCCTATGCACTTCACCATGGCTTCTTCTTCCTCTCCCTCATATCAATCTCATCTTAAAAACACACAACAAGATTTCAATTTTCTCAAACATGAAAAATCATCAAAACCTCTTCAAGAAGAAGAGCAAGAAGAAGAATGGCTAAACTTAGGGTTAGGTTTAGGAACTAGTCATAATCCAATTTTAGTTTCTCCATCATCTACTTCACAAAAGCTATGCTGCCCTCAAATAGGATTAGGGTTAGGGTTTCAAGATTATGATTCAGCTTTAGAATCAAAAAAAGGTAAAGAGGGATTAGAAAACTTGAATTTCTCTAATGAACATCATTACCATCATAATGATGATGATAATGGTAAGGTTATAGGGTCATCATCATTATCATCATCATGTGAAATTATGAATCCTCGTGGTGAAGACTTGGCTATGAAGTTTCCTAGTGATTCTCATCATTACTTGGCCAGAAATAATCACAACCAATCTGGTTTCTGGTTTACCCTACGCTCCTTTACCAACCGGTAAGCTATACAATCCAATTTACACTTTTTTTAGTTTCATATTAAAATTAAAATTTCCCAGATATTGTAAAAATTAGTTATAAAAATGGAAATTTTATATAATAATTATTGATAGATATAAAATTATTTTGATGTTTGTTTCTGTTTTTTTATGTATGGAATGGAAGGAACGGTGAAGCTTTACCTCAAATATCAAAAGAATTCATAAGAGTAAAGTAAGTAGTGCAAGTTAGCATGCATGGTGATGGATCCATCATATCACATATATTTTTTTCAATTTTGCTAATGATTATGCACATTGAAATAAGAGAAAAAAAGTTAACTCTTGCTTTTTCAATCTTTTTGTTTCTTCTACTTTTTCCAATCCTTTTTATTTAATTAATTGTTGTTATTTTTTTCCTCTTGAAAAGGGATGAAAACATGACGGTGTTGATGGTTAAAAAGTATCTGGTTACAAAACTAGGTCTCTCCAATGAAGATGAGGTAATTTACTATTCTAGACTCTAGATGATTAATTAAAGATGCAAAGTACTTTATGCATGCATTTGATATTTTATTTTTTGTTTGAAATGACAAGCTCTCGTAAAAGTATGTCATGCAATTTTAATCATAATGATGATATGATCTCTCTGGCACCATGCATTGGCAGGTTAAACTAGGGTTTATTGCACGGAGTGTAGAAAAGACCATTCATTCATGATAGGATGAATAAGTACATATATATCTGACAATTTTTCATTATTTTAGTATTTATACATGTGTTTATTTTTGCACTTAATTAATTCTACTAAAAGATGTTGAAAGTGTGTAGTATATATAGCTAGGAGTAGGAGGATCAATGCATTATGCACCTATTCCCATTGTCTCAAACTCATTTGTTTTAAGCTATAACCTTTTAATTTTACTCCCTCCATCTTACAATAATTCACACATTTAAAATAAAAATGACTATATATTTCAATTTTCAATATATTTTTTTAATTTTATCCTTTAATTAATATTGCTTTCACAATTTCTAGTATATGATAAAAATATTTTAATAAAATTATTATTCTCTTTTTTATTTTTTTTATATGTATGAAATAGTCAACTGAATCATCTATTGTGGAACTATTACGGTTATAGTAAAAATTTTAAAGTTATATCTTGTCTAAAAAATCATTATAAAATATTTTTACGATTAAATTATAATTAAATAAAGTTTATATTGAATTATAAAAACAAATTTAAGGTTGAACTATAGTTAACTTACACAATTTTTTAGAAAAATTTAGGAAGATCCTACTTATTGATATGATGAGTTTATTATTTTTTAAAATGTTTATGCTAAGGATGATGAAATTGATTTGTTGCTGTGGAATATGTGCATCAATAGAGGTGAGATTCATATTTATTGTGGTTTGCAAATATAAGAAAGAAAGAAATTTGGAATCTCAATTGGTAAAGATATCTACATACTTCAAATATTCCTTTTGGTTTCATAAACTCCTTCATGTTATTATTACAAGTAGAAATTGACTTATCTTTTTTTGTCTTTCAAAAATTTACTTATAATAATGTAAGAGATTAATAGCAAGTAGACATTAACATCTATTGTTCACAAAATAAAAGAAGCCAATTTTATTTATAATAGTGATTGGAAGAAATTAATATTAGAACAAGAAAAAAATAAAAACCAATAAATTTATTAATGTTAGTAATAAGTTTGGTAAATTTATCATATACCACATTTAATGTTCTTGATAATATAGTGAAATTCTTGTTCAGATTTTATAAATAGTAATTTATTTGTTCTATATATAAAAATTGGATTCATTATATATTCAATAAATTTAAAATTAAAATCTTTATATTTTTCAGAGTATATTTAAATTTATACTAGTCTCTATTTTTGTCTCCAAATAATGTTTTTTATATAATTTCTAGTATAATAAAAAATGGTATAATAGTAAAAAAGGATTGTAATAGTATTTTAAGAGATAATTATTTTTTGCAAAAATACAAATGAATCACTTTTAAAGAAACATATAAATTAGGAAAAATAGGGATATAAAAGTAAAATAACCCATGCATTTTAAAATTATTATTTTCTTATAAATGAGATAAAAGTACTTAAAAAGTTACAAACATTTTCTTATATTTTTTATGATAAAAATTGAAAAACCAAGAAGCAACATGGTACTCAATCTCTAAACAAAGAACATAATAATGTGCATAATTTATATAAAATTATTACTTAATTATCCATTGTTTGTAAATATATTCAATGTTATCTTTTTATATTTCAAAATATATGTATTATTAATAATAGAGATGTTTTAAAAAAAATAAGACATGCATTTAAAATTGTATCGAGAGTTTTTTTATATTTAAAGATAAGAATTTGGTTGAGTGTTGTATGTTGATAATAGTTCTTAATTATATTGGACTGAGCCAATAGAAATTCGTTAATCAAACTTAATTTGATTATTTGATTTTTATGTATTTGATTATTTTTTAGCAGAATCAAGTGGTTTTGTTCGATTTACGATTTGTATTTTACAAACTAAATTAAACAGAATTAATTGTATTATGTTACAACTAAAACTTCAATTAATTCACATCCAACTCAAATTCAAACCTATTATGTCTTGACCTTACAATTATGAGTGATTTTTTCTTCCTCACTCTTAAAATTTTAGTTTCAGCTTTCTTAAATCTCTCTAAAGAATATCACACATTCTTTTTATCTTTTTCATTGGATATATTTTGTATCTTCTTCTCAAATCTCTTTTCTCTTTTATTCTTTTTTTTTTAGCTTCTCTTTTTTATGCTACTATTTTCTTTTAATTTTGTTTATATTGTGCCTCTTCTTTTTTCGTCTTTTCTTTTTTCTTTGATCTTTGCTCTCATATGTGTTTTATTTTTCGTTATAATGTTTTTGATAGTGTTTTATGTTATTGTTTTATGTTTTTTATTTTACTTTTGTATAATTTGAGTTTTGTATATTAAATGTAAAGTTATTTTTTAAATATGATGAGTTTTATTGTTATTTAATAATGTGTGAATGATTAAATTAAAAGTTTTGTTGTCATCTATATGTGTATGTATGATTCAATAAGACTCTTATAAAAAATCAATCTAACTAAATCAATTTAAACCATATTGATATGGTTTAGTTTTAATTCTAAAGGTCAATAAAATTAAAAATAGTAAGTATTATAAGGTAAAACAAGGCTTCACCCAATACAAATAAGAACATATTCAAATCAATTGTAGACTTAGTTATTAAAAGTTATTCACTTAGTTCACAATAAATAATTCAGTTGATTATTTTACGTATATTAAAAAAAAAAAAAAGAATAGTTTTACTAAAGTACTTTTATTATATATTGAAAATGATAAAGTAATATTAATTATAAGATAAAATTAAAAAAAATATATTAAAATTTTAAAATGGATTATTATTCTAAAAGAGTATGAAATATTTGTTTTTATCAATGTCCGTATTTAATTATCTCTATAAAAGTATCTCTTTATTATTTTACAAATCATTAAATTCTTACATCAATACATAAACTATCTTTTCACACAAACACAACCCACCTAATTATTTAAATAATTCTTATGCATGCCTTGACAACACTAGAATTAATATATACTAGAAGTAATTTCAAACACATCAAAAGTGTCATTTTATTTTTGGTTCCATTATATATTTGTTGCTGATGATAGTTCTGAGTGTTAAGTTTTAGCCCTTGGTTAGTGAGGCATTGGTTCTTTGCTAAGTCTTTTCTTTTTGTTTTCTTTTGTAATTGCTAAAAAAATTCAGGTAAAATACCCAAAATTATGAGGGAGCTAATAGTTAGCATTGCTTAATCGATTATCTAGCATGTTCTTGACTTCTCATTCATTGCTTTTGCTCACTTGAAAACCTGTCTTTACATATTTGGACTTTAATGTTAAATTGGCCAAATAGATTTTCTTTATTACTATTGTTTTGTTTACTTTTCAGTTATGACAAAGAAAGTGTAGTGATAAATTAGTTAAATTTATTTTAATAAATAGATTATATATATATATATATATATATATATATATATATATATATATATATATATATATATATTCCTTTTTTTTAATTAGTTCATATATATTATATTTTATTTTCTATTATCAATATTGAAGTAACAATGAGAGGTTCTCAGATTTGAATTTTGTTAGGTGTTAATAATTTTTATGTTAGATTAATTCATATAAAATTTTATTTTGTCTTTAAATAGAATTCTTATAATGGATGATGAGATTTATCTTTTTAGATTAGTTATTCGTAAAATCGAATATTAAAAAAAATAAAATAACGAGTGATGATTATTTGAAAAAGCTTGTGAAAATCAGGGATTGTAGGAAAACTATATTTTCTTTAAATGAGAAAAAAATACAAATTTATAAGCATATATTTATTTATTTTCTATTTCATGACTCCAATTTTCTCACCAAATTTTAATTTTATGACTATAGATTGACATGTTTTGCATGGGAGAAAGCTTGTTGCATGTTCAAACTCTGAAGCAAGTAAGAGACACTATTTGGCTCCCAAGATTGGTTGAATATGTAGATTCAACTACTTTGTCAATTGGAGATTTCCATGAGGTGACCATGAACCATTTGATGTCACTGATTTACCAAAAACATTGTATATTGAATTGACATCTCAATGAGTAGGTTTACTAATATCATCATGTTCCATTTCTTTTACAACCACCTCTTTTCATGTGTAAAAAAGATTTTCCACATGCCTTATTTATGGTGAAAGACTCCATTTTTGTATATATTTCTTTTAAAAAAACAGCTTTAATATTAAGGTTAATTAAAATTTTAATTTTTGAACAAATTGTAATTAATTTGAGAGAAAATCTTAGCTCAATTCTGGAGCACAAAATCTTTTTAGCAATCCACAATTGAACCACCATATGTTTTTGCAAAATGGAGTTCTTTGAAAAAATTGAACAATAAGCAAAGCATCTTTTTAAAGGAGCTGGAAGATAATGAATGCTAGATAGAAACAATCTAACTAACCAATCCAAATTCCATTCACCATTGTTATCCACCAAATCAGTAACTTTCGCAATATGATAAGTATTAGGTATTGATTCTATGATAGTGGAAAGTTTGACTCCTAGTTGCACACAACAGTTATCCCATGCTTTAACTGAATCTCCGTTTCTAATTGTCCAATATGTCATATCATTCAAAGTGGATACACTAACTATGCTCTTCCACAAACTTGAATATTAAACCTTAGTTCCCACTCCATCAATCTGGTTGTTGTTCCAATCATACTTCCCTCTCATCACATGACACCACAAATACTTGTCACCACTCTTACTTTTGCATCCTAACTTAAGCAAGCATGCCTTGTTCATATTATCAAGCTAACTCATTCTCAGTCCACCCATTATTTTTGGAATCAACATAGTATCACATTTCGAAGTGTGGTTGGGCTTCACTTCCTCAGGATCACCCTCAAACAAAGCCTCTTTGCACCCATTGTATTTCCTTGAGACATGCTTTTGGTAGGGCACAATTCATCATTGGATATGTAGGTATGGCTTTATACGGGTAAAAAAATACACGTATGCGTGTTCCTCCCGCAAAGATATGAGAAATCAGAAATTTTAGTAGGTTTATAACAATCGAGAGCTTTTAGTAGGTAAAACTCACGAACTCCCTTATACAAAGAAAACTAACTTATGTCTAACTTAAATAGTAAGATTTGGAATTTGGTAGTTAACTCTTCTCTTTCAAACAGTGGATTGAAGCGGTTAGTCCTCTTTCCACAAACAACAGATCGAAGCGGTACACTTCTTTCCATGAACGATAGATTGAAGCGGTTAGTCTTTGTCGCGGTGAAATTTGGATACCAAACTATTGATTAGTTTGAATCTTTATTCAATTTGAAACCGTCTTTGATTTATCCAAAGGAAAGGTTAAAGGAAGGAAAACCTATTTTGCATTGTAAACACAACGCGGGGAGAGATCTAAGGTTCGGGGGTTGGTTAAACTTAGGGAAGGTACTAGCATCCTAAGTTTCTGTAGTACTCTACAGGAACCTCTTGTTTTATGTTGTTTATTGCCAAGTTATTTGCTTAAGGATAATATGAAGGGTTAAAGGTAAAGAGAAAGACCTAAGGGGGTTAATCCTAAGTATACTCGCCAAGACGTCGCATCTTGTGCCTACATATCCTGACGGGAATGGAATCAGAGTATCTGTAGTTCCCCTCACATGGGAGGTTAGAAACATCTTGACTGTGGTCAAGGTTTCAAGGGGAATAAATGCATCTTGAGGACACGCTTATGCGGAGTGCGGGAACTCCAAACTTCTACGTTGAATTGTTAAGTTGAAATTAGGGTTAGGTTAGGGATTCCGCGACGGGAAACCCTAAAATGAGTGCGGCGGCTCTTTGACCTAATGCTAAGGGTAAAACTGTAATTGTGCCAATGGCGAGGCATTTGTGAAAATTAGGGTTTTGTAGTTTGGATGGTTTGAATTCTTAAGGGTTTGTGGACTATCGGTGCGGCGGCCTAACAGTTAGACCTAAACCTTCGGAGTTGTGCAATGTGACAGAATATTAGTGAAAAGATGCGAGAAATTTAAATCATACAAACAACGGAAAGTAAAAGCGGAAAGGTAAACGCGATTGTTGGTTCGCGAGGTTACAAATGAGGAACAATTACAATAATATGAAAATTTGAATAAAATGCAACTAAATAAATAAAAGGCAACGTGACAAGCTACAAAACGAACAGACAGCGTTAGTGAACAAAAATATATAAATTACCAGACAAGTTAGGAAGTGAAAATGTAAAATTATGCATATTTTTGTAGTTTTTATTTTGGGATATAAACTTCAATTTAAATTAAAATAAGAGTTTTAATATTAAGAAATATATTTAACTTTAATCCTCAAAAATTATTCTAACCTACTTATCTAAAAAAACTTTACTTTATTTTTTTTAAAAAAAAGACTTAATGTTTATTATTTTAGAGTATTTTTGGTTATTATTAAAAAGAAATTCACTATTATAAAAAAAAATTAAATTATTTATTAATTGGAAAGTGTTTTTTATTATTTTTATATATATATATTTAATACTGGAAAAAAACAAATAATAAGTAAAGAAACAAGGTTGGGCCGGTGATCAACCCGGTCCCAATCCAATGCATAACGATGGATAACCATGTTTTTAGGGTTTCGAAAACCCTATCGCTCTCCGCGGCGCCGTTGTGATTTGTTTCTCTTCGTCTTTCTCATCTCTCATTCTCTCGTCCATTTTCACTATGATTCCTCCGAAAACCTGAAATCCATATGAAAGAGTATTAAATACGAGGGTTCATGCATTCCTAGCTTACGTTTTTATTTTTGATCTGAAAAGCGAGGACGGTGATTGCGAAGGTTGGTGAGAGCGATGATGAGATCTCTCTGAGCTTCGAGATTGTTTGCTCGCCGTTCGGATGAGCGGCGCTGGTGAACTTTCTTCAAGGGGTTTCGTTCGTGTTTTGGTGATGAGCTTCGATCGATGGTTCGGCTTTGATGATTCACGGTTTATGTTAGGTGATTGTCTGAACGATGATGACGATTATGCTTTCGTCTGAGTTCGCGACCGTTCTCGCTCTTTTCCGTCTAGGGTTTTACTTGAGGTGATATCGTTCCTTATATACTTTTTATGATTTCTTTTTGGGCTTTGGATCTATGTTTGTCCAACTGATATTGATTTTATGATTGAGAACATCATCCCCTTTTCGGATTTGATTGGATTCGATTTGTGATCTTCAATTATTTCTTTCCTTTTCCAACTCGATTTGATCTTGTTTCGTGGTAATTTACTAATTCGATTTTAACTTGGTTTTTTACTTTCAGGCCCCAACCGGATATCTATTTCCACTCTGATTTTGCATTGGATGTTTGGTTTCCTTTGAATCAGTTGGACATCTTATTTGGCCTCGATTAACTGGGTTATTTGTTTCACTTTGGTTAACCGGATATCTGTTTTACCTTGATTAACTGGTTTCATTGTGATCTGAACTGATGGTAGTTTTAATCGCTGCCTATTTTTCTGATAAACTTGCATTTCTCTGGTCCTTCTGGTGTTTATTTGGATCCAATCCCTGATGTCTGTTGACTTGATTTTCAGATATTGATTTGGATTGTTATTTTTCAGGTGAACTCCAATTCGGATTCGGTCCACAATTATTTACTTGATAAGGGCTGGACCGCTTGACTCTTGGCTTCGGATACGGTGTTTGACGTAACTCTGTTACTTTTCTGTTAGGCTTTTCTGCAGAACAACTTTGTTTTCTGATGAGCTTTACTCCTTGAGATGTCTTGTTGGATATCCGAATCTTGAGCAGCTTTTGGTTATCAGTTGGAATACACTTACTTTTCTTCTTCTTCTTTCAGTGAACTGATACTTCGGATGGATCAATGCCACTGAGAAGATTATACGGTGATGATGACCATTGGTCTGAACCTTCGAGGGTCGCCTTTTGACATTTTGGTTTTGATTGTGTCGCCTTAGCGATGATGACCTTCGGGTCTGAGCTGACATTTTGTGCTTGAGCTGATAGTCCGTGCGAAATCACCGTATGCTCATAATTCGATGTTCGGTAGGGAGTGGGTAACGGTCCCAGCCGTGGCTCTCCTGGCCGCTTGAACTTCACGCCCAATGATGATTAAACTGAGGGCTGATATGACTTCCAATCTCTTTGTTATTTTGCTATTTGCTTCGACTCGCGTATGAACTCGTGTCCTGTTACTGATTGTTTTTGTTTTTGTTTTTCTTTTTGACAGGTGAGAGTTTAGTGCGGATGAAGGCGATGATGATGTTATAATCTGAGCCTACATGTTAGTTTCGGTTTCTTGTTGATTTTCTGGTTTGCACTCACTTGTTCAGTTTTTACTTCTATCCATTTTGGCTATGAGCATCAGTTTGCTTTTTCTGGTATAATCCTGCTCACATGTGTGATTTGATAACTTCACTTTGATATCCTGTTTGGTTGCAAGAACGGTCCTTTTGACTGCTGTTTTTCCAAGTAGTAATATGGACTCTGATCTAATTCTTGCATCATGGTTTTTGGTACTTGCAGTCTTGAATTGGTTTGATCTTGTTGTTTTCTCGTTTGGCTTGAACTTCGTCTTTTGTCACAACTGATGCAACTTGACTTTGTTAAGCATCTCTTTTATTTTATGAACGACTTATGCTTTGGTTTGTTTGTTGAACTGCATTCATCTAGACCTGGACGCGCTCTTTTGCCTTGTTGCTATCGTGAATTCCTGTTTTATGAACTAATTTTGATGCATCTCTGAACTTAATTGAACTGGCTGAACTCTTTTCTTGCGTCTTTTGTTCCATTGGTTGAGTGACTTATGAATTCCATGCAGCTTGTAACTCTTTTTCGGCTTTGATTTTGGTTAGGAACTTTGGAAAATTCTGATGCTACTTTGGTGAATTTCAGGTGTTGGATAACTTCGAAAGAAAAGCGGTTCAGACCTACCGGTGTCTGGGTCTAAATCCGAATTGGCTATGATGTTTAATTTTGTATCAGTTTGGAAACAACTTGAGATTTACTTGATAATGACACCATGTTTACTTGATGGAATGGTGCTTTAGTTTGGCTTTGAACCGAATACAATTACGGCAAATGAATT